GCCTGTCTGCGCGAGAAGGATCGACCCTATCGGGCACATTCGGCAAAACATGATCAGGCAAAACAACGCCTTCGCCTGGTCTCACCGGCAGGCCAGTACCCCGGCCGTCACCTTCCCCTGGTGTAGGCGTCGGTGACCTGATCCTATGTCCTTGCCCCGCAAACGCATGGTAACCAACATTCCGTCTTTCTCTGGGTTGTGGAGGAGCTTCATTAATCTGCTGGACACCCTGAAGCATGCCAGCAGCCTCGTCAAATTGACCCTCCATCTCAAAGAGCTGGGACATTTCTGTTGTTCGCGGCGCTAAGGTTACGCACGTTACCATCGATAGCGCTGACTCTCCGCATAACACCTTCAAGTGTACTCCGGAATGTGCCGAGCTCTCGCCTAACGGCAGGCTGCACTTGGTCACTGCTGGCAGGAAGATTACGGATCTGCCCTTGGATGCCATCAACGACCCGATTCACAATTGCCGATCTCGCTTCATACTGTTCAACATGTGACTTCACGGTTTCAAACCTCGAAATGATGTCATCATGATCCCGACGTTGACGTTGAATTCCTCGAGCCAGATCATGCATCTTCCGATTGATCTCGTCAACAGCCTCATGCCAGTCCTGCGGGGAATCATGCCCTGATGGTCTATCGACCTCCTGAGATCCCCTTCCACTTTGCAGTCTAGACACTCGATTAACAAGACGAGTGTGCTCTTCTTTGACCCCTTCCATAGATTCAGAGGCCCACTTAGCAAACTTCTCGTGTTCAAGGAGAGCATCCCCAATCTTCAGGTTTAACTCCCTGAAATTCGCGTCAACTACACTGCTGCTGGCCCTATCGGACAGATTCGCGACAGGATTCGGGTTCCATACACCTGCCGGTGTCCGCATCCCAACGGTTTTCTCTACCGAGAACACCCGTTTCTCAAGCTTGTCCAAATCCTTAAGGGTCTCGTCCTCAGAAGCAGCATGGCTTCTGCGGGCAGCCTCACTATTTTCCTGAATCATCAGGCGAAGCCGATCAGTCGATGCCTCATTGTCCCTGACAGATTCATGGACCTCGTGGGACAGTAGGTTAATCCTCTGCTCCACGACCTCGGCTTGCTCATCGATGGCTTGCCTCACAATGGCCTTGCTATCGGGAATAACTTCGCGAACCGTTGAACTATCATTCGCATCCTCCCGGCATCAGATTGGGTCGCAACCTCAGCTGCCAAGCGATCGACCTTGTCCTTTGTCCGTTGACTCTCGTCGCTCCATTCCCTTCGCATGGAACTCACCTGACCGTTCAGTACCCTGATTTGGTCAGCAAAGATGTGGAACGCCTTCGCGACTGAGCCGGAAACCTCACCTCTCTCGAGCATCTCCTGGATGTGCAAATCGAACACCTCCTTCGCCCTAGCGTCAGCTGATTCGCCGGAAGACTGAGATCTGAGGGCGGGAGGAGTCGATATCTCGATCCTCTCAGGAGCCCCACTAGCCCCGGCATGTCTTCCGGGGTCATCCACAGGACAATCATCAATCCTGGATGGTCTACTCGGGGTAGATCCCCTTCTCCGGCTATCGCCAGATCGAGGATCAATGTTGGATGCACGTGACTCGGGGGTGGAGTGGATGTGAACATCAGCGGGATCGGGCATCTCCTCATCCTGCGGAGTTGAATCCATTGGTGAGGGGCTAGCCCTCCTCGCCTTTGACCTATCGGTCTCAGCGGCGAGAGGTGGCGGTCTCTTTGCAGAAACACTACGTTCCCTGGCAGTCGAACCCCATTGAGGTGTGAACTCATTGCTTGACCTCAGAGTTTCAAGATCACTGGTATCTCGCCCTAACGGGCTAGCGATCGACGGACGATCTTCGATCCCGAGTGCATCGGCAAGCCGACCATCTCTGGCACCTGTCCTAACAACATCGGCAGCCCGCTCAGTGATCCTCGGTGAACCAGTAACCCGGTTCGGTTCGAGCTCTGTCTCTCTGACTCAACGGACCTCCAAATGTGATGTTGGGAAAGGGGGGAACATTCGGGGAATCACCAATAGCCGGGGGACCTACCGGTCCCTCGCGGTCATGAATGGCCTCCAATCCCCGAAGAACTTCCCGACTTTCCCTGGCTCTCTCTCTCTCGCTTCTGGCGTCCCTGTCAACACGAAGGTCCCTGACGGCTCCACGAGAGAGGCTCCTGGGCCTCGCAGCATCACGGATCCTAGCATTTCGTCGTGGTTGGTCCTCCTCCTCATCACGGCGATCCGCAAACGCGGCATACTCGTCATCATCATCGACCTCAAACTTGGCAGCGGCGGGATTAGTCCTTGCAGTCTCACGGCTGCCTGCATCTCGGCGCGAATGGCTCTCCTCCTCATCCGCAAAATTGTAATCTTCGCCATCATAAGACTCAGATTTGGCAGTATTAGGGTTGGGCCTACCGGCATCAGACCCCTGCTTTGAGCTACTGCCCCAACCTGCGGTTGATTTCAACAGATCATCGTATCCGAAGTCCGTGAATTTCCGCTCCTCGTGCTCATCAAACTGACCTGGATTCTGAGAACCAGTGGATCGGCCCGGGATACCTCCCGGAACCAGAACCATAGTTCCTGGTCCCTGCGGCCTACTCTCAAACTCATCCGAGACCTGCGACTCACCTGGAACAAGAGATCTCGGAGGTCGAATCGGCATGGCCTCCGGGTCATCCGAATGAGGGCGGGCCATGTCCATCGCCATGCTGGTGAAGTCAAAATGTCCACGCCTGTGACCTGATTCAGAGCCACTCCTACCGGAGTAAACCCTTCGTGTCCGCTCGTCATCAGTGGCCTGGCGGAAAATACGATCGTCTCCATCGTCGGCGTACCTGCCACGGCCCCTGGGTGTATCCCTACCGGGATCTTCACCCCTGCGGTCCTGACCTGTCGAACCTGCTTCGAAATCCTCGTAGTCATAGTCCGGTAGGTCCTCACCTGAGCGGAGGCCACCTAGGATGGCCTCCTCATCCACGACGCTCCTTCGAGATCGTGGGGTCGACATAGAGCTTGTAGTTGATGGTCTCAAGCGCGTAGGAAAGTCCTACGGCTGATAACCTGTGATTCGGGCACGAGCCTGTGCCCAGGCAATGGGTAAGTTGGGGTAAACAAGCCACAAAAGAAAGGTTCCCCAAAAGCAAACCAATCCCCGGTCCCAAAGATCAGGGTTTCCCACACACCAGAGAACAACAACCAAAGGAAAACAAACCAAGCAAGAAAAGGGTAAACCCGCAACCTTGGTCGACAACAGGCCGCACGACTGGTCCCTACCAACCTGGCGGCGGCCCGAGGTCTCTTTCTCCCCCGAGATGCCGTCGGTCGACGCAGGGGTTCGGCGACGCCCATTCGAGGCGCGACGGAACCCAAAACTTGAGCCAAACACCACAGGTCAGTCACTACCGCGACATCCCTGGTGATGAAATAAACCATGGCTAATCACAAATAATAATAATAACACATACAACAACGAGAGGGAGGAGGACAGGGAGGAGGATAGTGAGAGAATGAATACAGCTCTTCATACCCATCTGCGTTAGTGTAGGAGGTCCCGCGGGGAATCTTGCTGCCGTTCATGGGTATCAACCCCGCGTTCTGCACATGCCCTGGGTGCCGATGCAATTTGTTTTCCCGCCATGAATCCAAATATTGTGGATGTTTCCACGTGATTTTGCGAGCCATTTCCGAGGAGACTTGACCTATGCGCACATCCGGAACATATGTTGAGCAGGGCTGTGGGAAATGAACACTTTTGTGATACAACAAAAAGGGACTCCCACAGACTAACCCCTACATACAGAAGGGATTCCCTTGTATCACGGAAATATACCCCACAACCCTGATGTTGAGCGTACCACATATTTCCCTTGTTCACAAAAAAATGGCAGGTGCTGATCATAGGTCCAGCCAACAGATTTGTGAAAGGATTTCCGGGTTCAATGAGCACGTGCACTGGGTCGCCGAAGTGGCTAGCCCATGTCCAAACAATTCTCGTATCACTGCGACACACCGCCAAAAAAAGAAAAGACAAAAACAAACATGACCTCAACAACAAGCAAAGCTTACATCACGCACCGGGTACACCATCCTAAACAAGTATTCTGTAGAAGTAGCAAGTGGAGCCACATGCATGCGTTAACAAAGCTCTGCATCAGGTTCTATCTAGACTCAAACAACCTCTGCAACACGTGCGCACACACAAAGTTCAACCCCTCAGCCAAATAGTGACCAAATGCCGAAGATTGCAACTCAAACTAGAATGGTTTCCCATGTTGACAATCGGTTGCAAATCTCAGGGCATACATCAAGTCTGGAAAGACTTCACCAGTGCACCTATTCAAGCACTCAATGGTTCAAGGAATCATTGCTTGCCTAGTGGCTCTGGCTCTTGGAACAACACAGGGCGCAAGCCGCAAAGGCGGCGTGTCCCTGAACGCCCAACACTGTGTGCTAACCTCCTACACACAGTGATGCAAACCAAGCCACCAGCCATGCAATTTGCCCGGGGGTTGTTCTGGAAGATTGGGTACTTGGAGTGAGAGCTTGCCTTTTGACCATTCGTGGGAAGAAATAGTGGGTGTGCTGGAAGTGTGAAAAGGCTTCCTAATTCCACCTCTCTGGATATTTGGGCGTGGCTTTTGTCAGGGAACACCCGTTTGGTTGGTTTTAAGGGGAATCAAAAAGGACGACCATCTCCTGGACCCGCACTCCCTTTGTTTGGACATTGACGTTGCTGCGAAAAAGTCTTCACACAAAATCAGCCTCGGTGGTAGTATCCCCAACAGCCCCACAACTCCCTGGAACGGAACCCCCCTGAAAGCTGCCCCAAATCTCCCCAAAGAAAGCTTCCAGCTGGAAAAAAAGTTTGTTCAACATACACAACACCGCTTTTCTTGTTCAACAAAAAAAGGAAAACCAAAAACAACAAAAACGTGCCCTGGGTGTCGTCCAAAAGGATCTTTAAGGAACCTCACGCCAAACCGATTTCATCCCACGCCTGGCGCTCGGAGGCCTCTTGAACCCCAGAAGACGTCGGCCTCGGATCGGCTTCGGCGTCGGTGTCGGCTTCGGATCGATCGATTCGGTCGGACCGGCCTTCGAAACGAGTCACCGGGGATGGACATGAGTTTTTGTCTGGTGGGTGCCCTGTTTGGATTGGTCTTTGGGGAGACCGAAAGGCAAACCACCCTTGTTTTGGGGTCTATGTTGAGACACACCCAAGTTTCCGTGGGCCGGTTTGTGATTTGTAGGCGGGATCGGTGTTGCTAAACCAGCTTTTTCGTTAGACATCACACACTTAGGTTAAGGGATTCAAATGTATGTCCACAACTTTAAAACACGGGAAAATATGGTGCCAAAATCGGGGACCCCTGAAAAGACACACCCATAGCGAATCATTTTGAGACATGCCCACGGGACCATGTCTAGGCACAATGCCGCCCCCCCCCACCCCGAAGGCACAGGGCGTTCGATAGGTCACATGGAGTCACATTAGCTCAAACAACTTGGATGAAAGAAACAAAGAACCGACCCTTGCATGGTGTATTTTCTCCAAAAACCCAATGTGTTTGTTTTGGTCAAGAAAGAAACAATACGATAGACCCAGACATCGCAAATCAATGTGGACGTCATCACTGAAGGCGCATTCGCGCAGTTCCACTTTTCGACAAGCAGACGTTGGGCCAGGCCCAAGACCATTTCCGCTTCATCCTCGAAGGCGAAGATGAGGACATCGAAGGCAAGGATGTTGTGTCTTTCTTCTTTTGCTACACTCACTGGCTGAGTGGATGGCCCAAAAAAAGTTCAAACTTTAGAATTACCACTAAAATGGTCTTCCCAAAAAGTTTAAAGTTCATGAACTCAGGAAGTGAGTACACTTGCAAAAGAAGAAGTGCATAAAGGTTTGCCGTAGCCGTGTTGCGTTACAACTGAAATGGGAACTTGCAAACAGCCGCGGCCGAAGACATCCTGGCCAATGCTGCGCGGCACCCGTGGCCGAAGTACCAATCGTCAGATCTGAGACAGTCCAGCATCTGCTCATACAAGAAGCACAAGCAAGTCACACGCAACCTTCTGCCGGCGCAGGCTTCCCCGGCCAGGGCAGTCACAAATCTAAAGGTTGTGCTGCTGGAAAAGGTGTCCACCCCGGACCCCTCGTGGCTCCCTTTTCCACCTCACTTGAGTCACAATATATTACTCACAATCAAACACCCGGTGAATGGTCTACCCAGAACCATGTAAAGAACTAAAACAACAAACCGCACCCATTTATGGCTAGGATTCTCCCGTACTACCCAATTATATACCCGGGTTTCGATTGTGACTCACGAATTTGACTTCGTTTCAGCTGAACTTGTTGCACGATCACCGAGTTACCCAAGGCCCACCTTCTGGCCTTGTGGTATTATTTTGTTTGGGTCTAGTTTCAGTCTCGGCTCAAAAGGCTGATGTCGTCTGATCCTTTCAAGCGAGTTTGGGAATGTTGCCTGTCACACGGCAGTTTGAAGAGCGGAGTGAATTCACAGAGCATGCTTCTCCCTCGCAAGCCCAGCAGTCAGAAGCCTATAAAGAAACACCTCCCACTTTGCAATCAAGTCATGGAGGGGGGTTTAAGGTTTAACAAGCTTAGGGTTTAGGTCTACGGTTTTCCAGGGTTTATACGTTTGGCCACAAACACCCCAAAACACTGGCCAAGCAGGAATTGGGGCTTAAGCTTTGGGCTTGAGGGTTTTTTGGGCTTTGGGTTTAGGGTCAGGGTGTTTAGGGCTTAGGTTTAAAGTTTTAAAATTTACTTCCCGTAGCCGAGTTTGCAAGTTGGGCTACCGGGACACTAGTCGGAGTTAGCCTGCCAAACTCCTAAAACACCAGCCCCTGCGCAGTCATTTGCATCGGCCAACCCGTCCTGAGGAGCGTTCGGGCAAATCTTTGCCCAACAATACTGTAGGACCCCCCCCCTCAAATCAAATTTGACTGGGAAGGAGAAGACCCATTGCATTGCACGCCCCCGAACTTAGGAGGAACACGCACATCCTGGGTAAATAATTCACCATGTGAGGAAATCCCAAATAAGGGAAGCCCTTCTTACTCAGATGCCCAGTGGCCATGAGGAAACAAGGGCATCCTTTTTTGGTTGATCGAGTTTAAAGGGAGTTGTCCCCCAAAAAAAAACGGAATAAAGGGCGGAATCCACTGGGCAAGTGCTTCGGCGAAATCGGCCGCAAAGCCCTTGCCGCAGACCCTCTCGGTTTCGGGCGCAGCTGCCTCGGCAGCTCGCACACCTCGCCCGTGCGCACGAGGTCGGGATCTAGTACTAGGTGTCCTTTCGGGAAAAGGTGAAAAAGGGTCCAACTGACTGGGGAATGATCAGGGCTCCCGATTCTTCCCCGTAAAACATCACCACACCCAAAAATCATATTCATCTTCATGGGCCAGAAACGTGATGTTTAAAATCGCCCAAAAGGGAAATGCAGGGACCCCTGATGCTTGAATATTCAAACTGAAGCCAGTGGAATCCATCAACTTTCAGCCAAACTTGAAACTAACCTCAAAACCAAAACGATTGTATAAGCTCGCTTTCTGAGGAGATTGGCACCGCAACCAACTGTTCTTTGTCGAAACTTGCTTACCACTAAACTAGTCTTAACGGAAAGTATGAGATCTAGAAACTTAGGAGAGGCGCAAGGTGCCAAATTCCAGGGGGGGGCTCCCATAAACATCCGTGAATTTCAGAGATCGGTGGCCGCCGGTGGGCCGAGAAGCCCAAGCCCTGGCCGGGTCAGCAAAAGGCCGGGGCTACTCTGTGAAAAAAATAAATAATAATAACAAAAAATCCAAAAAAAAACTCGTCCAGCAAGACCTGTTTGCTTCGGGTTGCAGGAAATCGCAAGTCCATTGTGGGAAGGCTCTGGTTCTGCCAGTTCACTGACCCGCCATTTCTCTACTTGCGCCCACGTACCCAACAAATGCGGGGAACACCAAAAAAAACATTGGCCATGTCTTGCCAAAAGCAACAGGGGAAAACAAGAATCGCCGAACATGAAACACCTCTTACGCATCACGCATGGGGGGCACGTAAGAGGTAACAGGGGCAACGTTGCTCACGCCACGAAGATACACCTCTTTCGTGGCCCCTGCCCCTGCCTTGCATAGCGTCCTGCGCCTGGCCGTGCGACGAAGCGGATGTGGTATGCTCGCATGACAAGTCCTGCATGCTTTCACTTGTGCGCTTCTTCGTTGTTCAACAAGGTAGACTTGACATGTCTTGAAACGGCCAACCCCAAGACTCAGATATGAACAAGCAGATAGATTAGTTTTTTCAATCAACAACATGCACCCTATCCTTCGGAAGTCTCGAGCTGCATTTGTATAGTTCCAAATGGGCGACACGTGACAGCCTGTTGATGCTCCTTCTTTTCTTTCCAGTTCCTCGTTGAGAGGGTGGGAACAAGTCGTGCACATATGAACCCACAAAACACAAATTACAACAAACGAGAAAAAAAAAGATAAAACAAAGGAGGGGAAACAAAAAACAAACATGGCAGCACTCGAAACTCAAGGGGCGGAAGCTCGCTCCAAATACGCACAGAACCAGCCGCACTGGCCGTGGCACAAGGCTGGAGGATCTGTAAGCCCAAGGATGCCAAGCGCAGTCAGGCTTCACCAACTCATGAGGGTTGGACCTAAGGGTTCAACCAACTCCCCAACTGTTCCCCTCAAATTGAGGGATCTGAGTTGCCGAAAGATGCCAAGCTCATGATCTGTTGCTTGCCTATCTAAACAAGCTACAATAGCATATCCAAGCTACCAGACAGTTGCTGAGCTGTTCAACATGGAGTATTGGCCGCTCCCAGTCCATAATCTCAAGTGAAAGGCCATCACTAACTGGACCCTTTTCGCCCCCCAAGGTGTTCGGATTTCGGATTCTTCCATTTGGTTCAGACCCCTGGAAAAAAATATAATATATTTCCAGTAGTGATAGTTTCCCTTTAAAACCAACAGGGGAAAACAAACAATAATAATAATTCTTAAGCAAATGGAAGGATTGAGCAGCCCAAAGAGACGGCCGGGAAAGCAAACATCGCCGCCTCCAGGGCTTTGATCTTCTCCTTGGCCTTGTCCCTCTCTTGCTCCAGCTGCTGCACGTGCTTCTTCAGCTCCTATCCGGGAAGCTCTAGACATCAAGGGGAAACTCAAACAGAATGCTCCCTGCAGAAGAACGTGGGACCCACGTCTGCATTTGATTTAGAGGGAATCTCCTCTTAGGGCGCGCTCTTTAGCTGACAAAAAAACCTAGTCCAATACTACAATTGGGCGGGCATGATCTGCAGGCGGATAAGCTGGCCACGGAACGCAACACATCAAGCTGCTTTGCCGCTGGCAAGCCGCCAATCTGCAAACACATGTGCCATGGTCGAAACTCCTTATGTTGGTCATGGTTCCCTTCATAGGAACCCTTGCGGTCCCAACCCCCCAAAGAGGTTGATGACCCTTAAAAACTCATCGGCGTGAATTGCGGCCGATGGGCAAAACAATCAATCACCTATTGGGTGAATTCGTGGGATGGGTTGGAACAAATGGTTCCCAAATCGGATGCTGCATGGTTGTGCTTCGCAAGCGATCGGAGCCGGCTGGTGAGAACCCCTTTGCCCCTTGAAGCACCCCAAAGCCAACTCACTACAAATTGGCCCAACAGGTGATTCTCAAAACAAAAGATCCAAAAGGTTTGAAAGGGGATGTTGAACCCTGAACAACCTGAGTTGCTTCATTCTGATAGGGTGACCCCGAAAATGAACTTCGCTTGTCCTTTCGGTTTCCGGTTCAACCAACCTAAAGTTGGCACCTTCAAGAGACACAAACACACATGTCCAGCATAGGGCGACCCTGAAAATGGATTTCGGTTCTCCTTGGGTTTCCTCAGTTGTTCAGTGACCCTGGAAAACAAAGGGAACCCTTTTTGGGGAAGACCATTTTAGTGGGGCAGCCACGCAAAAAAAGGGGGGAAAAAGGGTGCCACTGAACAACTGAGTTTCCATTTGGGTGTGGCTCAAAATTAGACAGGAGGGGCAAACCGCAGGTGTTGGTCCATGTTTCCACTTGCCAGGGTTCCAGTTTGGTACCGGTTTTTGGAGCCACAGCCATTTGAACCAACCCTAAGTCCTCCAGTAGAGAGGTTAGAATAAGGCTACCAACTTTTTCCTGTAGTCTCTTTTAGTAGGGGAACCCTCTAAAAGGGCACTACTGGGACCTAGAACCCATTCCCACCTTTCGCGAGCCCGCCTCGAAGAGACCCGAGTATTGCAGCTCCTGCTCCTTGAGCTTGGCCTCCTATCGAGAAGGCGGACGCCTCGCCACGCAGACGCCCAGTGGACTTCGCCCGATTTTTTGCGGTTGGGTTTTTCGAGGACACCCCGGCCGCCCGGACCCGGCCATAAAAGGCACAAAAACCTCGGGCAAGTGGATTTCCGGTGGAAAATGGGCGGCTTCTTTGTTGATTGCAAGGGAGCACCTGGACAACAAATGGGAAGCCGCTTTGCTCTGGGTCAGCCTCTCAGCCAGGGCAGCCCAGAGCTTTCGCCCACAGCTTCCGTCATGCCCAGTGCAGCTCATTCCAGCGACTTTCTGCTCAGCCCAGCCACGGCATCATTTGCTCAAGCCCGCGTTTCTCTGATTAGTTTTGTTGAGCCTGGCCGAGGCTGGCAGGAATTGCTCTTCCATGAATAAACTGGTTTAGTGAACAGGCGAAAGCCTTTCTGACAGGAACATAGTCTTTGCTTCTTTGCAATAAAAAAGGGCAGCCCCTTTCCGGGGGATGAGCCCGAAACCTAAAATTCGACATGGACCCCCCCACAAAAAAAGCACCTATCTCACAAGCGTTGGCTCGTTTCATCCCAACTCGGTGGAACGTTCCGACATCGCTCGCCCGAGTGGTGCATCGGTCCAGCTGGAGCTCCCGCTGCCGCAGCAGCTGCAGCTCTTTCTGGGCCTCGTCCTCGCACCTGAGCCGAGTGGCCGACTTCCGGGCGCATGGCGGAAATCGGTCGGACCTCCGGGCCTCGGAACCCTGGTGCTCAGAAAAACGAAATCCTGGGATTCATTCTTCTCCGTCTTCTGAAGAAAGGGCGTCACCAAAGGGCCCTTGTCATCCCTTTTCATCACAGGGCAGCTAGAAATGTGGGCCCTGAACCGAAGGACGCCAACCAGCTTTCTGCCCTTGAACGGGAATGGGCTTGATCTAGAGGCTTGAAGCAACCCGGTTTTTCGTTGAAAGAGGCAAAGTTCAAATGAAATGCACCTGGAATGCCAGCAACATGCTGCTAAGAGCCTGTCAAGCGAATTCCTCGGTTCCAAGCTCACGGTTTGCACGTTCCAAGTCTAGCAAACTCGACTAAAGCAGCAAAGTCGACCCAGGGAGCCCGAGGGACAAAAACAAAGCGATCGAGTCAAAAATAAACAAAGCCGAATTCTATTGTCTCACAGTCTACCCCTACCATCCTTTTCAGACAATCCAGGGACTCCTTCCAAAAGGATTGCTACAGCTTTCAGGGGTCCCGTCACTAAACGGGTGGTCAACAGGCAAACCTGTCCCGTTCTTCCTTGTGATGATGCCGGAAGAACCATCAACAATGCCTGTGGGCGGCTTGTTAATGAGCTGGTATAATAGCAGCATTGCTTGGCTTTTAAGTATGGTTCTTGCTTCCTGAGTCTGCAAATGCTGTTGTTGCCAAAGACTTGGGTGGGGAATGCAAAAGAACGCTTGCCATGCACACATGCACGCATCGGACATGTCGGCAGATTTGAAAGACAATGTTACACCGAGTCAACATGAGCAAGCTTTTGCTGGCATGTCCTCACAACATGGTTGTTCAAGATGACTGGCGATGCAGTTGGCACAAGATCCAGCTGCCCAATGAGTATACTCAAACAAGATCACGAATCATGGAGGCTCGACTCCTCCCTGGAGCGTGCATTAATTTCTCACTTATTCCTTTTCCCGGCCACGGTGGAATATAAAATGCGACCTATTTGTATTCTGGGTGCTTATCTGCGCGCTGCACTTGCAACGAGGGGACAACAATCGATTCTCACACTGCAGCGAACTGTGTAATTCAGTTTTCTATGTTCCTCATGCTATTTGCTTGACACGGCCCAGTAATCCAAAACGCTGTGGTCGATTCGCTCGAGTTCTGCTTCACCTGCTGCTTCCACGAAACCTGACTGTTCAGTGGGCAAACAATATGAATCGTCAGGGGCCAGAACTTCAAATGTGCTTGTGAACCGCTGACGTTCTCTGAAGGAAAGGCACCGGTTGCGTCGTATGGCTTGAACACGTCACATGGAACCTAGTTGGTGCTGGCTGGGATGTACTGGATCCAAACACACCCTGCAGTTCATCATGTTCGACCTCTGAGTTGCTATGGGACCAACGGAGTGGCAAATGCCAGCTGTCCCCCTCTGAAGCTTCTCCTGACGTGTTTTTAACCATGGAACACGTGAAAGAGCCAGCACCTATGAAGGACTATTTGTGACCTCGGGTACTGGACCTGTTCATGTCTTATTTGCTTTCGCAAGCACGCTCCTGTACCCCGAGCAGGGCTCTGCAAAAAATACAAGGATTGCAGCGTGTGCAATGATCTCAGGATTCCCCTGACATGTGGTCGGCATCTTTGCTACGCCAGTCAATTTGCTTGCAAACGACCATGACATGCCATGACATACACGTACAGTGCCATGCCATACCATGACTCAATGTCGGCCAGGACCGTTGTGGCTTCAACTACTGCAACCATGTCCAGTTTGAGTTGGCACCCAGCAGTCTCGTAATCCGAGTATCATGGCGTTCCTAAGGTATGTGTCTTGTTTTTTGAGGGTGCCGTTAGTCAGGGGTCCAAGACCAATAAGCTTGGACAGCCAGTGAGCTCCCGCATCCGCATCCATTTCGTTCCCCGTGGCGAAAAACTGAGGCCCACGCTCAGAGAGCAGTTGGGCAACCGAGCGCCGCAGGGAGAGGTTCTGGTCAACCAACTCCTGAGTCGCAAGCTCAAAGTCTGGCTCCAACGTGAGTCTATCTCTCTCTCTCTCTGTGTGTGTGTGTGTCAAAAGCAGGCAGCCTCATGGTTGAAGGGATCTCTGGTTTTGACGCAATACCTGGGCTGACAAACCTCGCCTCGGTCACTTGGCAAATGCTTGCTTGGTTCTTCTCCAGTGACCTGCTCTTGATATAAGTGCGGCTGGACCGGAATCTCTCTGAACAAATCTGACTGGAACTTTGGGTTGCCCTCCCCACCTGGAAGCTCCCAGGACCCCTCTGAAACGACTTGGTTCCCTTTCTGGGAGCTTCCGGTGGGTAGTCCGAGGCTCGAGGGAGTGCCCTGCGATCCGAAACTTCGCCGAACTGCGCAACTTCCACGCGAGCCCAAAGCCGCATGCCATGAGATTTCTTTTCGGGTCTGAGGTAACAAACCCCACGGAGAAGTTTGGTCCGAGCCACTGCCTTGCCTGAAAACAGGGGCCGCCGCAAGCCGCAAATCAAGGCATCCCAGTTTGCGGCTAAACAGGGGGCAGTGTCGAGCTGATTCAAGACGCCACAGGGTTAAGGCCGGTGTGCAAACCCCAAAAAGTACTGCATCGTGCACGTGGCTGTGAAATGATGAGAGCAGCCCAGGCAGGCGGAAAATGCGTAGTTGGATTTTGTTTAGCAGACGTACGCAGACCAAAAATGACATCCAACCAAAAGGCTTGCCAATGTAAAATATCTCACACACACACAAAAACAAACAACAACAAAAAACACTTGGCACCGCAAGCAACGGCCTACTCACTCTTCGCTAGCAAAAAAGCTTTCTGTGTCCTCTAGGTCTTCGGTTGTTCCGCCGGTTCTACCAATTTGTTGCCCTCCACGTCGCTGCCTCCACTTCCAGCGCACTGCGGAAGCCGAATTCCGAATCCGCGCCTGCACGGTGCGGAAGCCCCGCTTCTGCGCCTCATAGGCCTCAGACAAGACGGCAACAGTTAGAAGGCCCATGGCCATTCAATGCTAGGCCCCTCCAGTAGAGAGGTTAGAAGAAGGGTACCAACTTTTTTATTTTTTCTATTTTAGTAGGGGAACCGAATCTCCCCCGAAAAAGAAACCGTAAAAGGGCACGATTTTGGGGGACCCATTCCATGTGCAGGCGCGAGAAACCCGGCTGAGACCAGCGCCTTCAGGTCCCCTGGGTGTTCTTCTTCTGGTAAAGCTCCACTGAGCCTGGCAGTCAGCAACGCAATGCTTGGCCCTGCCCTCTTACAGAGATCCTTACATTACACACCTGAACATTGCCTTGAGTAAATCGTGGGTTCTCTTTACTTTGGTGGAAAAAGAGGTGATTCAATTGGGCAACATGTATCTTGAAGGAGCCCTGTTTTAGACATCAGGCTTCTGGCACCCTTGGCAGTGTGTAGAAATAGCCTGATGTGTTGCTGGGCGCGTTTGATCTTGATCCACCTTTAAGTGGAAAGATCTACGGCAGCTGCCGCGGCGTAAAAATGACCACTAGTTCTCGAGGAGAACCCACTACAACGGAAAGGACAAAAGGACAAAAGGGCGGAATCTACTGAGCAACTGACGCACAGCTCACCACACACCTGGCAACCCTCCAGCCATGTAGAGAAACAACCATTTCAAGGTTGTCACATGGGAATGTCTTTGTCTGACATGTGTTTGGTGTTTCTGAGAATAGAATCACATGAAAACCGGGCTTCGAAGACAAACCGATCGGCCTGCGGTTCTCATGTATGAGCACCACCATCTGATCGGCCACCTCCCTTACCTCCGCGCACACGTGTGTTTTTTCCTTCCCACCACACTTTTCACTCCATGAAAGCTGCATTGCCTCTGCCAAATCTTCCAGGGGGTTAAGCTGCAAAATCGGTTGCACAACTCGATGCTTTGACAGGGAACAGAGAGGCCTTAAACTGCGTTTGGAAGGATCCTTCGCTGCGCGGACACGCATAGCGACCACTTGCCGCCAAGTATGAACACGGGGTGTCGTTTGAAGGCACCTCTTTTTGGGGTGGTTCTACACGGAAATCAAAAGAACAGACACCATTTTGGGGGAGTCGCCTATTCTAAGACATACCCATATGTCATTGCCTCACAATGCTTCACTGTTGGTTTGGCGTTGTACAGGTTGAGGTTGGAAACTGGAGCTGATTGTGGCCTAGATGCTCACTTTGGGGTAAAACAATCAAAATCACACATCCTGCTCATTTGGGATACGACCACAAAAATGGGCCAGACATACCCGTAACATGGTCTCTAAGCACGCCTCAAAGTGGCCCCCGAATTCCTGTCAGTTTCCGTTCCAAGCCAACCCCAAACAGGGCACAACCCCCAAAACTGGACAAATGGCACCGTTTGGTGTTCCTTTGGTTTTATTTGATTTACCCCTGAAACCAACCTTCCATTTGCTTTGTTGACCCCTGGAACAAATGAGAGAATATGTCCAGTGAAAAATCCATTCCCTTTACCAACAAGGGAACACATTTAAAAACTGCTCCTTCCAGTCAATGGAAGCTTCGGTTTTTTTAATATATCCCCTTGAACCCAAAGGAGAACCACATGTTCATGTGGGTCTGTTTGGTTTTCCTCTGGCTTTCCAAACAAGGACAGACCCCCATGGCCATGGTTCAAAACCAATGGTACCATTTTGGTGTAGGTGCACCACCCATTTTAGTCTATCTTAGTGGGGATTGGGATGTTCACTGGCGGTACGATTTGGGTTTTGACCCATGGCCACATGAACAGCCCCCCTCTTGGGGCCGGGCATGCCCTTCCAGGAGCTTCTGCTGGCCCGAGCACTTCTTGGCGCGGGCCTCACCGATACGCACAGCCCGACCCTGCCGTCCGCCAGGGACTCGTTGGCTTCATGGGGTGAAGTCAAGTAAATACATGTATCACACACATGATTAAACAAACAACTATATATATATATATATACATATACATATATATGTACATGTGTATTTGCATATTTGTCAGTGGCCAGGGATGAGTGTTGTGGACTCGTGGACTCCCAAACACAGAGTATTGTTGGAGCAATATCATTCAAAATATCAAAGGTCATCGAACAGATGGAATCGGCTCCCGCTAATCAACCAGGGGTGTGTTGATCCGCGTCGGGCTACGCTGGCGCTTCACCGTGCAGAACACAACAAACCAGGACTGACTAGCGAGCAATGCTCATGGGGGGGGAAAACACAACGAAACCAAACACATGCAGCCATACATGTCAGGCATACCTGCCCTTCATGTTCAACCAGGCAAAAGCACACATATGCTTGTCTCGCATCACCCACCAAAGATCGGAATGGAGCTGCTCAACAGCGCGGGGCCCCATGTTTCTGTTTGCAGCCCGGCGGCCTGTGAGTCGGCCCCTTTGAAGGTCTGACAAACCAACATCTCGTTGTAGCTCTCCAGTGCACAGTGCACGTTTTCCAACAAATAAAGCACATTTGCTTGGGATCACCCTGTTTTGCCAACAATGTGCTGGCAAAGTCCCCTTTGCCCGCCTCAGCCTCCATACATTGGCTTTGCAACTGCTCCACCTGGGCGAGAGCAATAAAAGGGGCTAAAATAATTCATTACACAGAGTGTCGTCCTATCATGGCTCAATTTGCGTTGTAAGTACAAAGCCCCGTTCTAACAATGATGGCCCTTGGCCCTTGTTGCATGCGCACACACACAGACACGCACACACAGACACGCACACACACACACACACACACACACACACACACACACACACACACACACACACACACACACACACACACACACACACACACAGAGACACACACACACAGACACACACACACACACAAGACTGGCATCGAAAGCCACCTGCTCGCGTTAAATGAATGAACGCCGCAAATCCGAGTTCCAAATCGCAAGGTTTGGGAAAACGCCCGGTTCAACCCCTACGATAGCCGCGATGCCAAGGGCAGTAAAGACAACGCCTCACATGGGCAACTGGATCTTGACCCCCATTTGTTCCTTGATTTGTTAAGAGGATCTTGGGGGCACCCAAAACATGGGGGTTGTCTCTCTGAATGGGGAACGGTGAACGGGGTGCTCACAAAACTGCACCCGCCTGAAGCAAAAGACCCAAGGATCGCCCGGAAACGTCCATTATTAGTTGTCGATACATGCTCAGTGTGTATATGTGTGCAAATACTAATTAACATTGCATACCAATATATGAATCAATATATGCCTTGCACAAGTTCAGACATGCATAAATGCATTGCATATACTTTCCGTTGAAAACACATGCACGTGTAGACCAAAAAAAGGCTTTGAGTTTTCACGGCTACGATTCAACATTGTGGAACTACATCCTCCCGGCAAAATTGAGGTCCACCAAAGGGTCGTACTGTGGATGGACGAAATCCATTTCGCGCCACCGTTTGGAAACTCTTGAATGCTTCGATTTCCCAACGAAATACATGCAAATACCAAGTGGTGCGAAGGGATTCTGTCCATCCCCAGCATGGGAGCCCCCTTATAGTTTCCCCTTAAACCAACCCCACAAAGGGTACCTTTGAAAAACACATATATATATATATATATATGTATATATAAACATATAATCATATATATATATGTTGTATGGACATATATATATATATATATACATATAATCATACATATATATATATATATATTGTATGTATACATATATATATATATATGTAGACATATACACATACATAGAATCTTACATATATATCTACATTTATGGATATATGTCTATGTGGTACTCCCCCTTTTTCCTGCCCCCCCCCCCCCCCCGCCCTTCAAAGGGTCGCATGGGCCGCATACTGGGACTCCGGGCCCGTGCCAGCAGCTCCTCGTTCTGCTTGGTGAGGCGCGCGGTGAGGGTCTTCAGCCTGAGGAGCTCCTCGCGCTGGCCTCAGGCTGCAGCGGTGGGGGTGCCAGAGAGGGGGTCCCGTTTGCTTGGTGTTAGGGCTGTGTCTCTTTTGAGGATACCCGTTTTTGTGTGTGTGTGTGTGTGTTTTTCTTTTGGGTGGAAAAGAAACCAAATGGTGTTTTGTTTGAGGATACCCGCTTTGTTTTGAGGGGGGGGGGGTAAAAGGGACGCCAAAAGGAAACAAGTCCTTTTTGGAAGATGCCCGTGGTTTTTGGGGGGGGTTGATAAGGGAAACCAAAAAGACGATAAAGCACAAAAAACAACACGCTCAAAGAGAAGCCGGGGTAGCCCGGTGCCATAGACAGGTTCCTAGGAGAAAGATCCCGCGGGGTCCAAAGCCCTTGGCCCACACAAGTTGGGAACTGGGAACTCGGAAATGGGCTTTTGCCTTTTGGAAGGCCCTCTTGTCGGGTTTTAACGGGAAATAAAAAGGAAAGCCACTATGACTTCCCCCCATGTTTGATACGCAGAAGGCAACATGCCCTGTTCTTCCAGTCATAACTGTAATATGCAACGAGGGTTCCTCTAGTTACCTACCTGCATGTCTTGAAAGTTAACAATTCCCACTCCAAAAAGAAAAAAGTACTTTCTTCCATGCTGGAGTGATAATTTTCACTCCGTGTTAAAATGCCCGTTCGGGTAGTTCCGACTGCTCAGGCATCCGTTCGGAACCCGTTCGAAACCCGTTCGAAACCCGTTCGAACCCGTTCGTACCCGTTCGGACCCGTTCGGAGGTACGTAAAAAATACGCCAACATTACGTAATACGCCTTTGATAATTTATGTGCAGTGCTGAATTATGAACACTTCGATGGTAGTGAAAATATCCGTTCAAGAGTAGAAATACCCTTTCGAAAGTGGAAATTCCCGTGTCCTCAGGCCAAAAAGTACATTTTCAATTTTGGAGTAGGAATTCTTAACTTCCAAGAGATCCAGGTACTATAATGGTAACGGGAAGCACTGCGATGGGTGTGGTTTGTATAGGCTTCGCTAGAATGCATGTCGAAGCGCTGCTCGGGCTGCGTGTGTCTTGAGGTACCTTCTCCTTCGGGTGGTTCAAGAGGGCCTTCAAAGGGGACACCGGGATCTGCGTTGATTGGTGGACTGTGGCACACTCCGGTACTTCGGGATGCCCGGTGCTTCAGGCAGGGCTTCAAATTGTTGTTCGGTTTCAGGTGGGCTTTCACGGTTTCGGAACATGTGTTCCTGTTTGGGTGGAGATGGATGTATTCTTTGGTTTGCTGTTTCGGAACGAATGCAAATCTGCAGGACACGCCTGTCTGAAAGAACTCAATTGTTGCGCAGGCCCCAAATGACCTCTCTTGTGGGGCCACTGAGTGGAACAGCTTCAAATCTTGCGCGCGAGACTCATTTCTACTTGGTTCTCCTTGGAGTTCTACTGAAGGGGAACACACTAAATCCGTGTCGACCTGTCGAAGGAAGCTTCAAGGCCCCATCCAAACATCTGTGTTTTGAGATAAGCCTGCGCAGGTTGCCGAAGACTAGGGGTTAGTTGCCAGGCTCGCTGTTTGCTAGGGCGTTGCTTCAGGCTTGTGCTACTCTGAGACGGTCCATTCGCAATTCAATTATGCGTCTTGTTTACCAATTATAGGTCACATAAAGCTATATTGTACTACATGTATACATACCCAAATTGTCGAGAGATGGATCGGATAGACTTAAAATCCAATACCCCCAAACCTCTGGATGGGGAAAAAGAACATTGGGCCTTGAGTGTCTGGGGGTCGACTGCAGACCATTGCTTCGAGGGGCTCATCAGCGCGGGCTGCCGCTCCTTGATCTCTCTGCCCACAGTTTCCAGGGCCTCACGCAAACAAAACCACTCTTGACTGGCTGAGTGGATGGCCCAAAAAAAGTCCAAACCTTATATTTGCCACTAAGATGGTCTTCCCAAAAAGTTTAAAGTTCATGAACTCAGGAAGTGAGACTCAGGGAACCTACGCAGCCCTGGAAGACACTTCGCTTGATCACACGGATCACCCAAAAAGACGCTCCCCACAGGTTTTCGCTCCCAAAACGGTGGAATAAAACCGCTCGTCTCAGGCACCTCCTGGTACTGCTCTCGTAGCTGCCGCTCCTTCACAGCCTGCACTGCGTCTGCGATCAAGGCTCGAACCATGTGGCTGTACCATTTTGGGGTAGGTGCACCACCCATTTTAGAACCTATTTTAGTGGGGATTGGGATGTGGGTCCATCCCTTGCCGACTCATTTGGGTCGGTCGTAATGTTGACCCCGTATTAGATATCCCCCCCCTATTAGTCCGGTCCGGGTGGACCCCCCCAATACTAAACAATTCATATCTCAGAAAATACCCCCCAAATAAAAAATGATGCAAAACAACCCCCCCCCCAATTAGACCGGTCCCTCCCCCAGATGGCTGCTGCTATCTCATTTTCTCCACTGCTTCTTGAGCTCATTACAATGTAAACTGTTTTTGGTGCTAGCTGATGCTGCTGATGTTGAATCGACTCATGCTGCTTTTGCCATGCTGTCTCTGAATGGTGTGCTGAAAAGGTGCTTTGTCTCAAATGGGCTCCTGCTTTCTTCTGGTACCTTTCTCTTCATGCTGCTGCCTTGCTTAGGGCTCTCATCTCCACCTCCTACTCTCATCTTGAAGCTTGGTGGATACTTTTGGGCCTGCCCAAACCACAAAACAAAAAGTGTTCTGAGATGGTCGATTTCTTATTAAATTCTTTACTAAACAAATCAAGTTTAGAAGGTTTCAAAGAGCACCCCACATTGGCCCCTAACACCCCCAATTAATAATTCCCCCCCTAATTAGTGCGGTCCATCGGCCCCACCCCCCAAAGGAAGCTCCAGCAATACTAAATCAAATGGAAACTCAATTCCAGATCTCAAAAGGAAGCTCCAGCAATACTAATTCAAAGGGAAACTCAATTCCAGATCTCAATTGGAAGCTCCAGCAATACTAAATCAAATGGAAACTCAATCCCAGATCTCAAAAGGAAGCCCCAGCAATACCAAATCAAATGGAAACTCAATTCCAGATCTCAAAAGGAAGCCCCAGCAATACTAAATCAAAAGGAAGCCCCAGCAATACTAAATCAAATGGAAACTCAATTCCAGATCTCAAAAGGAAGCCCCAGCAATACTAAATCAAATGGAAACTCAATTCCAGATCTCAAAAGGAAGCCCCAGATTATTTAGGGGTCAAGGCAAAAAACCTTCCAAAATCTTGCCCCCCCCAAAACCTTCCAACCTTCAAGGGGGGGGGGGGGGGGTTACAGACTAATACGGGGTCAACATTAGCTCTTTTTGACCCTTACAGGTTCCCCAAACCCGACTTGCTGGGGGTCCATCCCTTCCTGTCACTTTCCTTTGAACACTCTCCACAACAATCCGTGTGGTTGCCGAAAAGTTGATCTCATAAGCCGCCATGACCTTCAAGCAACCCATGTCTTGACACAAAACCTGTGGCACAAGCCTTCGGGCCAAGAGTCGGTAGAGTCAGAGTGGACCCTGGGGACTCGGCGCGGAGGTTCTCACAGATTGCGACCCCCGCATTCGCATCCAAGCAATGCAAACAGGCTCAGGTGTCACAAAATCGCCCCAACATCATGGCCCGCTAGAAGCGATGACCTGGGTATGGGTCAAAACCACCAGGGTGTTCGTCTTTGGTTCCCTTAGGGTTCCATTTCGGGAAAAGGAAGTTTGACCCATCGCCACCTCTTCCCTGAAATTCTCCACCCGGAAGCCATCAAAAAAGCGACCGTTGCCGCGTCCTCCTCCCGGCTGGTCGTGGCTTCATAGAGCAGGTCAGCCAACTTGGCGTTGCCTGGCACCGGGATGCTCACCTGGCCCTGAGTCGTACCCCCAGTGAACATCCCAATCCAACCACCAAAATAGGTTCTAAAATGGGTGGTGCACCGAAAACCCCAAAATGGTACCATTGGTTTTGACCTACAGCCACCCGAGTGCAACCACACTTTTAGGCTATACACTCCCCTGCACATTAACATCGAACCACCAAACACATGTCTTTAGAGAAGCTCAGACTGATTTTGGGGAACCCTCTTTGGGGGGATCGATTTGGAGTAGATGATACATGACAAGCCAGGTGCAGTCACTTTCGTTCACAGCATGTCGCCGCTTGGAACTCCATGCTTTCAATTATTACCACGAATGGGAACCGTGGTTCCGTTGGGAAACTGACCTGTTGCGGACCTTCCAAACATCCACCCATACACTGCTGCCGAACGACGCTGGTGGGGGCTCTCTGCATCCCAAAACACTATTGGTCTGGGGCTTGGTGATTCGGAGGTTAACTTGGTGAGATGCATATTCAAAAGGGAATGCCTGGCAAATTTGACGATCATTCCTTGACGCCACTCACGATGAGCTTTTGCAACAATCGTGATGAAACGAGTGGGCCCTGCACCAAAGGCTACCCTGGCCCCATGATTTTACCATCAAAGCTACCCCCGTTCAGTGGTGGGCCAAAGGGACACCACCCCATCGAGTCCCGGCCTGTGGGCAGTCCAGTAGTTGGCGCGCTCGAGAAACTGTCCTGCTTCGCCCGAAGCTCCTGCGAGCGAGCCCCGTCGCCACACAAAATCGCTTGAATCCTTCTGCGCCTTTTCTGAAGGACAAACCACCCTCGCACCAAATAAACGTGGAACCGGACAGCAGGGGCCTGGAAGACCATCTTCCTTTTTAAAGGCACCGGGTCCCTGTCAGGCTCCATGTTAGTTGGTGGGAGAGTAGATGATTCAAAATCCTGCGGCGGTTTCCACCAAGGTATGACGAATTGCACATGTGCCGACCCTCATCCAATCCAAGAAAACAGGCAGAACACACATCCAAAATGCTCAAAGGCGGTTGTGGGGCAGCTCTGTTACTCCATCCGACAGGCGCACAGTGCTACCATGACGGCCAATGCAAACATGCAAACAGAAGGCACCAAATCACAAACATGACATCTTGGTGTCAACACTGTAACACCTGCTTTGTCTCTGGTGTTTGTTTAACAAGCAAGGTCTGAAAGAATCTGAACAATGACAGTGGATTGGACAGGGGCAAGGCCAAACAGTGCTGCTCACATTTTCTCATGGGCTTCCTCAGCAGACTTTGCCTGGCAACAATAGGGCAAGCGCAAGAAAGCCAAAAGGAACCAAACAACGGGCGCCTGCTGTCCTGTATAGATTCCGCCATCTCCAAATCTTTGCTGTTGCTCAATTCTGAGGTGTAACTCAGTTGCCCAGAGGACCCATAAAAAGGCGCGCGCCCCTTCGCGACACAACAAAAAAACACGGACCCAGGGGAAGAAAAAAAATACTTCGCTTCGAGCAATCCCCACCCTCCATACTCACGAGCTTACAGCCGTGAACACGGTTCTGTGAATTCAAGCATGGTTTTCGAGTGGCGTGGGGCCTATGACTGCTCAACAAGCTTTGCATTGAGAGCCTTATCCACCTGTCTGTGTGTCAAACTCCACTTGCCTGCGAGCCGAGAACTCAAACATCGGTTCCGTTAACAAAAGCCAAGCGGGGGATTGAACGACGTAGCTTATTCACAACCCAAAGCAACACAAAAGCATCAACCTTTCCGAGCTTCAAGATACACTCAAAACACGAAGGCACCAACGTGAAATGTAAAACCAGCTGTGCGCCGGGCGGGACATTAAGCAAAACCAGACTGGCGGACTGCTCTGGCGGGATACTGGCGGGATCCACTGGCGAGTACTGGCGAGCCGCTCCGGCTCGATACTGGCCAGATACTCGGCAGGATCCACCGGCAAGGGATCCACTCACGAGCTACTCTTCGCGGGATACTTGGCGGGATCCACTGGCGAACTACTCGATCCACTGGCGGGCTGCTCTGGTGGGATACTCGGCGGGATCCACTGGCGAGGGCGGGATACTTTGCGGGATCCACTGGCCAGCTCAGCGGGATACTCGGCGCCGAGTATCCACTGCCGGGCTGCTCTGGTGGGATCCATCTTGCGGGATACTCGGCGGGATCCACTGGCGAGCCGCTCTTGCGGGACACTCGGCGGGATCCACTAGCATCTCGGCGGGATCCACTGGCGTGCTGCTCTGGTGGGATACTCTGCGGGACCACTGGCGAGCTACTCTGGCGGGATACTCGGCTATCCACTGGCGAGGGACACTCGGCGGGATCCACTGGCGGGCTGCTCTGGGCGGATACTCGGCGGGATCCACTGGCGAGCCGCTCTTGCGGGATACTCGGCGGGATCCACTGGCGAGCCGCTCTGGCGGGATACTCGGCGGGATCCACTGGCGAGCCGCTCTGGCGGGATACTTGGCGGGATCCACTGGCGAGCCGCTCTGGCGGGATACTCGGCGGGATCCACTGGCGAGCCGCTCTGGCGGGATACTCGGCGGGATCCACTGGCGAGCAGCTCTGGCGGGATACTGGGCGGGATCCAACTCGGCGGGATCCACTGGCGAGCTGCTCTGGCGGGATACTGGGTGGGGGCGTGGTGTTGAAGCATCGCAAACGCGGATTCCAACATAAAATCTAACAACCCCTTCCTGTCGGGTGGGGAAAACCTAAAAACGCACCCGCGAGGTTTGGCCCTGAGGTCCGTGGAGCCGAAGCTGGAGTCTCCTCAGATCTGCTCAAAGTAGAAACTGGTGGCATTAAATATGCGAGCCAAAGACGACGCGGAGGAACAAACAACAACAAGAAACAAGTTCATTGAACTACACCCCCCCCCCAAAAAAAAAAAAAAACGACAACAAGCCAAACAAAACAGGAGTCGAAAACCGGAGCATTCGCCAAAGAACCGCGGAACCGCGAGAGATCTCCTCCAGCTCCTTCCGCGTCGTCAGCTCCGCCTCGCTGACCTCTGCCAGGCGCGCGGCCTGCGCCGCGGCCGCCGCTTCCAGCCGCGCCTGGCACCGGGCGGTGGGGGGACTCGGTGGATGGGGGGGGCCTCAAAACTGGGCTGCCCAAACTGATCCCCCGCTAAAAGTGACTAGCTTTGAGTGATTAAATGGAAATTTTAGTGGGTTGAATGGACATTTTTGGGTTAAATGGACATTTTACCACCAAACACTAAGAAGCTAAAAGGCTAAGGGGATGGCTGGGAGCCACCAAGAAAATACTGCAGACCTCTGATTCATACACCCCCCCACTTCAGGGGGGGCCCTGAATTGGTGGAAAATCCGTTGACCCCTGATTAGTCTTGCGATCGGTGCGATAGGTAGGGAATGTGGGAATGAACCCAGGCTTTGGTCCCCTTAAAGGAAACCACCAGTTGGATGGTTTATAGAGGTAATTCCCTCGTTCCCTACTGAGCACCAGCAAGTAATGAACCCTCAACTTATTATCAAGGGGGGCCCCTGACTAATAACTGGGAGGCTTGTGAATCAGGGGACCTCCTTTTTGGATGTTTCTAAAGGGAAAGCAAAAGGAAACCATCTGGATGGGTCTCCAATTTTTGAGCAACACCCAAACGGGTTCTAACGGGTTCGATTGGATGCTTCATGATCTTTGATGGCTACCCGCTTCTTAGAGCCCGGTTTCCTTTAAGCTTCCTGTTGACCCCACTTGGCGAAGCCAGGGAGAGCCATGTTGAAGGACATCCGTCATTTTAGGGGGGCAACCTTTTGTTTTTGTATCCTTGCAACCTTTTCACCTTGACCTTCCTTTCTTACCTTTTTCTCACCTTGAAACCTTTTTTTCTCACCTTGGAACCTTCTTTTCTCGCCTTGGAACCTTTTATTCTCACCTTGGAACCTTCTTTCTCACCTTGAACCTTTTATTCTCAAGCAGGCCCTATTCCGAGGTCGCCTGAAAGCCTTCCAAACTATTTCCCCCGGCTCGTGGCTCCGGCTCTGAGAAGGCTCAAACCTTCTACAAGCAGCGAGGTGTCCTTTCTAATTTCCAGGTGCCTTTGACTGACCAATGCAGCAGGTTCCCTTGCGAGCTTGCAAACAACCACAGGCATAGCAAAAGCTCAGACGGTAAGCAGAAAGCTAATCATTCGGAATCGCGGAAACTAAACAAAGCAAAACACGAATGGATCAGAGAACAAAGTCTACCGACCAAAGCGTCGACACACAAAATCAGCACGAATAGACGTTGACTGCCAAGAGACTACCCGTACAAAATACAAGACCATCAAGACCCACCAAAAAAAAAAACAAGCCGCAAGGAACCTCCGGAATCCTACCAACTCAACCGGTGACAGCACGCATGCACCAAAATTAGGCAAATACAGTGTTAGACGTAGCCGGAATCTTTGTGGTTCTTTTGTGACACTAGCCTTGGTTTTTTAGCAACCAGCCATTCACAAAACCGCTGCTCGACTTGAGGCATCGCCTGCGTGCTGCTCAGCTCCTCCTGGCTCTGCTCCAACTTCTGCGTCATCTGCTTCAGCGACTCCTGGACTTGGGCGACCCGAGCTCAGCCCCCAACCTACGTTGCCGTCCGCCCCGAGTTTCCTCCCGCCGTTAAAGGGGACAAAAGCGAGAAAGGGAAAAAATGACCGCCACTGCAAAAATCTCACACAAACAGAAACACCCAAGTACACAAACAAACGTCAGCCATCCGTGCGGGTCAAACCCGGCAGTCTGGATCTGTGTGGGCCCACCCCTCCCCCCCCGGATCGGCAAGCTCCAACCGTATTTTGAGCGGCTGACCCCTCTGGGTGCTAGATCGGAAGTGTGGAGAATCAACAGCATCCCCTGCTTTCCGTCAGAATGTCAAAACATCCGCCCCTGGGTTTGGGCGGTGAGCGATACCAAAGGGGTCAGTCTTTGCTGAGGCTCTGTACCCTTGTCGATTTATTGTTTTGAGGGAAAGCAAGAGGAACAAGATCGCAGTCTTGGAACATCCAACAAATAATGCTGAGACACACCCAACTGTACCAACCTGCGCATAAGTGTCCTTTTGGAAAAATAGATGGCCCTGGTAAATGGAATAAGGCCCATCTAAACCAGTGCCTTCTATTTTTAACCAAAACCTTAAAAGGACACCTATGAACATGCAGCTGTTCCCAAAAAGCCTCAAGATCACCCGCCATCCGAATCGCGGCTCCGCACCTCGTGGCTGGCTCGGTCTTTGGCCACACTTCTCAGCACCTCCTGGAGCTCTCGTTCCGCAGCCTGGCCATGGGACCCCCAGGTCCTCCAGTAGAGACTCAGTTGTTCAGTGACCCTGGACCAAAAAAGGGAACCCTTTTTGGGGAAGACCATTTTTAGTGGGGTAGTTATCCAAACAAAAGGGAAAAGGGTGCCACTGAACAACTGAGGAGCGCTTAGAATAAGGGCACCAACTTTTTTCTGTAGTCTATTTTAGTAGGGGAACCCTCCCTTCAAAAAGGGGTGAGAAAGGGCACTACTGGGGGACCTAGCCCAAACTTTTCGCCGACCCTTTGGGTTGTTTGGTTTTTCCTTGCAGCGGAATTCCACCTGGGCTTCCCCATTTGGTTTTCCCACCCCCTCCCACTTTGGGTTGATTTCCCTTTACATCACTTCCGATCGACGACGATTCCTACTAACCAAGTATCCAATAGTGGGCCGTGAGTTGCCCTAACCCACTAAAGGGTTGGCCTGGTTGCATAAAGGGTTAGTGACCATGCCTAGGTACCAGGTAAACGCAAGCTTCCAAAGAAGGGAAGCATTTGGCATGGCCTGAGCATCGCCATGCTCAAACCTTGCCCAGGAGTCCAAGTGTGGGTCATTGGAACGGTTGTATACGTAATATAAAAAAGGGAAACAAAAAAACAAAAAAACTTGCCAGCCACATCATAGATCGCACAATTCCCAGGTCATGGCTGCCACACAATTTGCTGGTCTAGTCTCCCTAGCCCGAGTTGCTGTGCTCCTGGCCCTATGCCTCTTCAGTTGGCCAACTGCTTCAAGGACTGCTGGAAAATGCGCGAAAACCAAGCAAAACTAAATCCAGTGCCAAATGCCCGCTGAACCATGTTTGAGCGTTCGCCTTCAGGGACCCCTAAAGGGTTCATGGTCTGGAAACCGGCCAACCAAGAGAGGTAAAAATACCAGGCAACGAAACTCAGGGAATCTAAGCCAACCCAGAAAACAAAGTCAATGTCTGCCCCATTTTACAATCCCCCTCCCGCTTTTGGGAACTCAAAGGGCCCCTACAAAGGTAGAATTCTTGCAACTGACCTAAACAAGCCACAACCCCCTAACCGGGAACCAGGCAACCTCTAAGAACCTCACGAAAACGGTTCTCCCCCGAGCGGCCTCTTTGAGCTGCATTTCTCTCTGCTCCACCTGCCGGGCTGATTTCCTTTTTTTTACGCTCGTTTCCTCGCTCATACCGATACCCCTGACCATTTCAGCTTCCAGCTTCGAATTGCGCGAGGCGGCCCTTTGCAAGGGACGCCAAAAGCATCCGGTTGAAGCTTTAGGCTTTGATCCGCCTCCCGCGAATTGGTGGTTTGGAGCCCGGGGGTTTGGTTCGGAAGTGGCTTCCAATCCATCTACCCGCTACAAGAATCAGGGCTTCAATTCCACAAACCAATCCAGACCACTTAGGGTCAACCTGGGCCATTTGCGGTTTCGCCCCCTGAAAAAAAGGGAGAACATGGTCCAGTGATAAAATCCCTTTAAAAACAACAAGGGCAAAGAAAGCACATACTTTAAACAAATAGAAGGGCTCCAGCCATTGAGAGGTGATGCCTTTAGAACAGCGACTAAGCAGGGATTCTCCTCAAACAAATGCGGGCGCCTTGAGGCTCTTGTCAAAAAAAAAGATATCGCTCGAAAGCAATTGCAAACTAGCAGGCCTTGTATCAACAGTCAGTTTCTGATTCAAGTCTGGTGCTTTCACTCCAGATCGATCGATGTTTGCAGCATTCATCTCAGTGGCGGAAAGCTCAGATGGAAGGCACAACGCAAAGGTCTCAAAAGAAGGGGCCCAGTCCAACCGAGTCACGAGTCTTCAACAGTGCGTCGCGCTTTGCCTTTGAAGGTATGTGGGGTCTCGTCGCATCGACTTACATTCAAAAATATATTACACACCACGCACTCGCAGACGCAAACAACGCTGTCAAACGCGAGGCATTAAACAAACTGCCGACTGCCCCAGTCACAGCCTGGTGCATTCCAGACTCCCACTGTGATTCGTCTACGAAACGCGGACCGGGGAGATTGAAGCAAAGACTTCGGGTCCCGGATACGAACTGATCGGTTTTTGAGGCATGTGCTCAAGACTTGCGTAAGTTGATCATGAAAAGATACAGTGACTGGGTCGTTGAATCATTCAGTCGCAACACATCACTCACTTATCCATCCCCCTTGGGTTTTCCCTGGGAAAGTTTGAAATCGTGGGTCATGTCTATCCTCCATCCCCTTTTGGTCGCCAACTAGGTCCTCCAGTAGAGAGGTTAGAATAAGGGTACCCTTTTTTTTCTCTGTAGTCTATTTTAGTAGGGGAACCCTCCCCCAAAAAAGAAACGGTAAAAGGGCACGATCCTGGGAAACCTAGCCAAAGAATCCTCCCCGAATCCGCCTCCCGGGCGAGCCGCGCGTCCTCCTTCTGGAGCTCTGCCTCTACACGCGCCGCCTGGCGAGCCGGGAAGCGGCTGGCTGGCGCGGGGCGTCCGAAAGCCTGGTTGCACCTCGGGCTCCCTTAGAGGAAACCAGAAAACCAACTAAAACCACCAAAACTTACCAGAACCAACTAAAGCTCCACTAAAGCAAGGAAGCCACACAAACCAAGGAATGAATCAAACTCCACCAGAACTAGATAAAGCTTGCTGGTGCTCAGTAGGGAATGACCCAGGGGTTGGAAATGAACCTGGGGATTCCCGTAAAGAAAACCATCAGTTGGATGGTTTATGGGGGTCGTTCCATTTCTCATTCCCTGCTGAGCACCAAGCCAAGTCGCGACTTGAAAAATGGTCCCTAGCCGGGAGGAGACAGGTCAAGCAGCTCCCTTTCATGCAATCCTTGTAGCCAAAGGGTTGTGGTCGATGACTCAAGTGGCAAAAAACAAGTTGGTCGCATGTCCCGGTTGGCTCTCCCAACAAACATGGAACTTGAACAAGGGCACCACTGGGCAACTGGGAGGGTTTTGATTCTGCCTCCTTGCCTCACCTCGGCCCGGCCTCCACATCCTCCGCCATCTTTTGCACCTGGCGGGCATTCTCTTCGAGAAGCCCGCTCTTCGCTTTCGCCTCCCCTTTGGCGTCACCCAGCTCCTGGCGCACACGGCCGAAAGAATCCCCCCATTGGTGGTGGGTTCCTTTTGGTGGTCCTTTAGCCATGTGCGCAAAGGGGATGGGATTCAACAAAAACGGACACCCAGAGCTTTGTTTTGCTATCTAGGGCTTGGAGGCACTGGCAAATGTCTTGCGTTGGGCTACACCCATGTTTTTTTTTTTTTTTTTTTTTTTTTTTTTTTTTTTTTTTTTTTTTTTTTTTTTTTTTTTTTTTTCGCAAAAGGCTTGGGCTTCACCGTGAGAAAACGCATCCATCTGTGCATAATGCCTGGATCAGAGGCTGGCTTCGGCTGGGTGAGTGGCGGTTCAGCTGAATCGCAGTTGTTGGGAATCTTTCGCATCTTCTTGGCTGGAATTAGGACCCCAGCCAAAAAAAGGCTTCTTTTTTGCCTGGTTGGTTGGTGGAAAACAAAGGGGACCCCAAAAAAGCAAAAAACACAAAAAGGGGAAGTAATTCTGGGGAAGTCTTGAGGTTGCTTCAGGGCAGTGTTCTGGCTGTTTAGGAGTTCAGGCAGGGCGCGGCTTGGATTGATGTTGTGCTGCTGTAGGGTTGGTTTAGGCAAGGTCAGGGATGCTGTTTTAGCCAATCTGGGTGGGATGTACTGTGATTTCTTGTGAGGTTACGGTTGGTTGGGAGCTGTTGTTGCGGCGGAGTTTGGGGCGTGCCGACCGACCGACCAAGCAAGCAAGCAAGCCAACCACCCAACCAAACCAACAAACAAGGCCCGGCCAGGGTCAAATTGCGCGCACCTTGAATGCGTAACCTGACCTGGTCTGAGGAATACATCAATTGCTGGGAAATGTCACCGCTGGATAACCCAAATGACCATAGGGCCTGGCATCCCTCTCACGGTGTTGAGGCGTCAAGGCCCCCAAAGTTCCCTTGGCAAATGATTCAGAATGGACTCAACACGTGGTCAGAACGCATTCACCCTAAGCGCGCTCTTCTGAGGCCTTTCAGGAAAACACCTTCAAGCCTGATTCATCTGCCAAGGTCACGCGGGTGTCAACTTAAGTTGGGGACTGGGGACTTTATTTCCACCCATAAAAGGGGGTCCTAAACAACCTTAAGAGCCAGGCGTGACCTTTAATGGACCCTGTGGACATCAAGTTTCTTATGTCCACTTTTGTGGTGGTAAAGATGCACAGCCATAGGTCCCCCGCTAACCGCGTACCCAGAAAGAACCGTGTCCTTCTGTAGAGCCTGGAGCTGTCCCTCAGTTGCGGCCTGCGAGAAGCAAATTGGAGGAATCACCGCGATTGAACCAAAGGAGACCATTCCTCTAGATATGTGTTATCGGGCCAAGATGGGTTCGTAAAACCAGTAATGACTCTGAACATCAGTACTTCTTCAAATCAATGACTTAATGCTAATCCCGGAATACTAACCCTGGGTTGAACCCAGGGTTCCCATTCTCCAATTCAACTTCCTACAGGTAAATTACAGTTCACAAATTGGAAAGGAATCCCCAAGAACCCTCCCCCCCCCTCCCCCGAATGAACATGACAATTTGTCCAGCTAGATCCCAGCCGAACAAGTCACACGCCTGACCAGGGATGTCCTTGTCCCGCCTTCGGAAAGAAAAACAACCTGCAGGACAAACAACGAACAAGGGGATCCCCGCCTCAAAAAACAAAAATCCGGGACCTTCGGTGAGTGCCATGCTACAGGGAGTGAGGGTTTTGCCCAACACAAAAAGGGGTACCTAGAAAATATGTTTCCTCTTTAAACAAAAACAAATAGGCTACCCAACAACAGAAAAGAGCACATTTCCAGGCTCGGGCCTGGAAGATCATTCTCCTCTAAGGACTTCCCTGTCCCCACTAAAAGCAAAACCCAACCGCCTGGGTGCCATGTTAGTGGGCAAAAGGGAGAAGAGTCCGGGACCTTCTGACCAACCAAACCCAACCCCATGCTTTGAGAGCCCATTTTCGGACTCGGACTCGGACAAAGACCCCGGGCGCAGCTCGAAGCTCCGTCCATCGCCTTCTCGCGCTGCAGCAGCTCCAGCTGCAGCTCAAAGGCTCGGGTCTCTTGGGCGCGCCTCGGCTCGACGACTCGAACCGCCTGGGATTTTGGTTGAGACCCAAAAAGGAGTTCGGGGGGGGTGGGGAGGGGGGGGGGAGGGGGGAATTTTCAGAAAAGGAGGTTCCAAATAGTACACAGAAGAGAACAGGCAGAAGAGAAGTCTCTTCCAAAGTTGGTCTACATGAAAGGCAGAAGATCTAACACAATTTCAGTCTAACAAAGCTGAGCCAAATTAGTATACAGACTAGAAAACCGTTTTGGAGACCCCAAGTGAATATGGGTCTTCACATAGACCCCAAACATGGCGTCGTGTTTGTTTGTGTTTTCCTTTTAACACCAAAAAGGGTAGGAAGCATCAACCAAAAGACAAACCCATTTTCAGAGACGCAAGCGCCAAAACTCCCAGTGACTTCAATGCAAACAGGGGGACCTTTTCTTGGTAGTTGGCTTGAAAGGGGCCCACCCCCCGTCTGGAGGAGGGTGTTTACAGGCCCAGAAAACTAATTATCCAAACGAGAAGGAACACAGGGGGCCAAAAAGGGGGCCGATGGAATGAGGGATCCCCAAAAAACTGAGAAAACAGGGGCCGATGGAATGTTAGCGCCTGCGACATGGCCGAGAATCAGCAAAAACAAATCCGAATCAATCGATGTGTCAGTGGGGTCCGGGCTAGGGGTTAGAGACATGTGAAACGTTTCTGACCTTGCAACTGTTGTGACTGTAACTTCAGGAAGCATTTCTCTGCTCGAGGCTCGTGATGCTGCATAAGAAGCAACAGAAGGAAACTGGCTGGTGTCCAGAAAGCAACGTGGGTGTTCCTTCAATTGCTGGGTGGTGAAACACCGGACCGGCATTGTGGGCTCACAAAAAACATTGTCAAGCAACAAGCGAAATGGCGCCTTCAAGCAAACCCCCCCCCCACAAAAAAAAAAACACACACACACACTTTTTGTTTGAAGAAAACATGCTGCCGTTTTGGGCTCAATAACCCGCAACCGCCGCATCGCGCCTCATCTTCTCCTCCTCGAGCTGAAACTTGGATTGGGCGCTTTCCTGGAGGTGCAGCGTCTGCTTCTGCAGCTCCTCAGAAAGCCTGACACGCGTCGAAATGTCCGAGCCACGGACACGGCTAAATGGGAGCGTGTGTCCCTAAGTGGGCCATAGACTGGATTCTCTGACAAACCAAGCCTGAGCATGACATAAGGGTGGAAAACACACTACAAAGTGGTGCCTTCAAAACCCGCGGTGCGGACATCCGGCATATGATATCCGCCAAAAGTATCCAGCTGGAAAGATTGGAAGGCGCCCCGGGCCGATCCCCCAGCGCCACCTGTCAGGATGAAACAAGTGCCACCCGTCAGGATGAGACCTGCACATGTTGCCAACATCTCCACGCACCTTCAATGATTGTCCATTGGCGTCCACTGGCACCTGGGACAAATCCGCTCGTGAGCGGAAAGCCTGCAAGTTTGGTTTCAAAGTCTGGACCGCTCGATTTCTTCAATGGTTTCTCGCCTTTGCTGCAAAACAACTGCATTTCGCCCTCTTGGAGGCGATTTCCTTGGCAGGGCCAACCAAAGCGGGCCACGTGTGTGTGTGTGTGTGTGTGTGTGTGTGTGTGTGTGTGTGTGTGTGTGTGTGTGTGTGTGTGTGTGCCGCATTACCACCTGTGTGTTTGCGTGTGTATGTGTCAGTCGGTTTGCACAAGCGATACCCTAAGAAAGCTGTCCTTTCATGGAATATCCATGGTTTTCAGACGGCTTGCTCCGAAACATCCTCGACATGCTGCTTGTTGAAGGCGTCCTCTACGTAGACGCATTCTCATCAATGATGTTCATCAATGATGTTGCACTGTTCCAGCCTTGTTGCGCTTCTGCGTTCGCCCTTCGGTTTTGATTTCCATTTAACTACCAACCAAAAGGCTGGGCCAGCATGTTTGAGAAACTCTCTCGTGTGCAGGAACTGTCTTGCTGCTTCTAGCAAACAAACACCTTGCGGGCTTAGTGTTGCATCTTCACCAGCGATTGCTTGGGCCATAGTCAGGAAATCGCGAAACGGGATGTAGCCAATCGGGTTTCCGGCCCACCCGCAACAACATGCTTATTGCTGGTCCATATTTAGTGAACCTTAAGTGTAGCATATGTTCGAAATAGATCCCAGATTTGCCCAGGCCTTGCGTTCTCCTCCTGCTTTCGCTCCAGCTCTTGCCACCTCTCATCCGCCAAGCACTTGGCCTCCTGAATTCGACGCTGCCAGTCCGGATAAGCGAGGGAGCCTAGCAAGGTTGAGTTATCTTTTTTACTGCACCGGCTTTGTACTAGCCCCGGCTCAGCCCAAGGCCTCCCCTCATGTGCCTCTAAACAGGTTGGCTGGAACCCTTGCTTCACTCTTAGGCTGCCCCTGGTAACCACATCCCCAGCATCACCGGCCTTGCTTGGACTTCCTGCCTGTTGGCTGCCAAAGCAGCACTGCAAAAAACGAGCCCCGACCAAAGTCAACCCAAAACCACCCAACAACAGCCTGGACATTCAGCCCTTTGCCAAGCCGAACCTCGAACAGGCACAAGATCCCCTCCCATTGAGATCTCCGAAAGACCAAAACTCGCCCGAAACCATCCCTGCGCAACTCTCCAATAAGGTAGCGCTAGGTCCGAGCAATGCCGGTGCTGGGGATGACGGCCAACCAACCAACCAACCAACCAACCAGCCAGCCAGCCAGCCAGCCAGCCAGCTAGCCAGCCAGCCAGCCAGCCAGCCAGCCAGCCAGCCAACCAGCCAGCCAGCCACCGGCCTGACCGGGGTTAAGCTTTACCCGGGCTAGTAAAAACAAACACCGGTTCCGAGTGGCCAATGCAATCGAAAGGCACACACATCCGGTAGGATCTTATCTGGCGGGTGACCCTAAGTCGTTACAGGATTCAGTCCGTTGAACCAACAAGTACACACAAACATCACACACTTCCCTCCCTTCTCATGATGTCACCTTGTAGGCCTAGAAATTGGAAAGAAATTATAAGGCAACTCCTTGAAAGAAGGCAATTGACACTTCTCACTCACAGTCTTGATGTTTACCAAACTGGTTGCAGGACTCCTCGAAAGAATGATTGATAGAAACACATATTGAACAGGAATGCCTCAAGAACTTATTTCCTGAGCTTTGTAGTTACTGCTGTTGCCTATTTTTCGCGGTTTCTGCTGGAGTTTGGTGGATCAAGATCCTCAGTTTTGAGAACAAGGGTTGCCGAGCACCGGGAAGTTTCCAGTTGGTGTGCATACTTCTGCCCAGATGGTCGTTTCGGAAGTTGGCCAATTCGTCAAACCCAACAACCTCCGTAACAGCACACCTGCTCAACACCTTGCTTCGACTTGACTTAGCGCTTTTAGGGCTGAGTGCAGTGGTTCGCATTCCGGACCCTGATGCATGAAACATTTTATGCGATCAAGGCACTGCAAGTCAGCAAGCGTCCAACACTTGGACAGGCGCCGAAAGCGGCACAACGGAACGACTCAAACGCAGATTCGCACAAGATTGAGCAATCCAATCCAAGTAACTTGAAAATCATCACCCCCTTGGCAAAACAAATGCAAAACACAACACCATGTGCAAGCTCAGCCAGTCTTGTTGGTCTCACAATCGGTACACATGCAGGAAGCGTTCATGCTTGGCACTCATGCAGGACAGCAGCCACTTTACACCCTGGTGGGCCTAGTGAGCAATGTCGCAGGCCGAAGTTTGTCAGTCGCGAATTTGTAAGCTCGATGATCAGGCAAATTGATGGCCGCTTCACGGGATGGTTTTTGTGTCTTGGCTGGGCCCGTTCGAAGAGTCCAGCTGGACCTGGTTTGGGCGGTTTGCGGTTGATCTGATTGGGCCGCGGGGTTTTTAATTGGTTGAACCATGGCTGCTCCAGGTTCCTGGAAGCGCGCATTTGCCCCTAACGCCTGACAAGAACAACTCCTCAGTGCCAGTCAAACCTGCTTAAAGGGAAACCAAAAGGAGCCCATCCATTTAAGCCACTTTGTCCAACAGCTCCTGAAGCAGCGCTCAAGAGTGTTGGTTAGGGAAGCTCAAAGGCGCGCCGCCCTGAAGTGTTGCTGAGGAGTGTTAGTCGGGCGTGCGGCGGCAAAGTTACCACCCTCCCCGAGACGAACATGGAAGCTCCCAGGACCCCTTTGGAAAACTTGCGGTTCCATTTACGCAAAACTGCAGCTGTGAAAAGAAACAAACACACATGAGATAACCATATGACATGAAAAGTCAATTCATCAATGTTGTCCGCTCAGACCTATCGTGTAAGAACATGCTACTTATTTTCCACTTATTTCGTCAAAGCGCATGCGGGTCCGTGGCTTACCTTTGTCTTCGCGGGTCTCTTGTAAGCAGACTATGCGACGTTAAACTCTGTAACCAAATGTTCACACATGTAGATATATATGTGTCTATATTATATTCATCTGAGTTTAAATCAAGTAGGGGAGGCGGACTCAAAGGAAGGATAATTGGTTTACTTCGTGCCGGTTGTAATCTGTTCGCGGGGTCTTACGGTGCAGGTACTGTGCGCTTGGCCATGCCTGAAGCTCAAAATACGCACAGCCAACAAGACCAGAACTGACAATGCTAGTTCCGGCAACTTGCCTACCCAATGCGTTCTACCTCAGCCTGATCTGGGCCCATATTTCGTACACCTTCAAATGTAAGTCAGCACCCTTGCCACTCCTCCAGTCGCGACTGCAACTCGGAGACCTTCTTCTCATCCACCGCCTGCTTGGCTGACAGCTCCTGTAGCCGAACCATACACAGTTGGCGAGCGTCCGCTGGTAGAAGGGCACCTCTTTGGAAGTCGATCAATGTGTTCCTGCTGTCCCCTTTAGCAAGTAAACTGTGCAACTCCCGTGGGTTTTGCGCTTGGTGAGCTGTTTGGGCTGGCTGACGCTGATTGGTTCAAGGTGGACGGGTTAAGAATGGTTGGGGTCTGCAGGCTTATATATATATATATTTATAAGGGTTGAGGATGTATTCATGGTGAAATTAGGGTTTGATCTGGATAAGTGATAAGGATTCAGGCTGCTGAGAGTTTGGAGTTGGTTTAGGGTTTAATATAAGGGTCCACTTGAAATGTAACTTTGAGAGTGTCACTCCAATGAAATCAAACCGACATGAAACATCCCCATTGGAATGGTGCCCAATGGTCACCTGCATCCATGGTTCTTGGGAACACAAGGCGACGGTGTGAGCCTCGTTGACAGCGCCGCGCGCGCCCCGCGCCCTTTTCGATGCCGTGATGTGCACTCTTCTGACGACTTCTCCGGCTGTCCGTGGTGGTTCCAACGCTTGATGGTTGGGGGTGGTTTGAGAGGGTTGCTTGGTTTCCAACACTGGGCCTCTTCAAGAGGGCTTGGCGTTCGTCCAAAACCCCTGTGCTTCTGTACCATGATTCTGCGGGTCCAGTCAGTTCCAAAATGCCTCCTTCTGCCAGTTGCCGCTCCCCGGCTCAAATCGATCCAGCTGACTTGTCGAAACCTCCACCCGGGTTCGTCAGAGCCGGTCCCTTAAAGACCGGGAGTGAGTGCGGCTTGCTTGCTGGAGCTCGCAGGGAATGAGAGTAGCCAGTGCCAGTTTGCGAAGCTCGCGAAGGCTCTTGGCGGTGATCCTGGTAGGAAGGGGAACCATTGGCCATGGGTCAAAACCCAAATCGTACCCCAGTGAACATCCCAATCCCAACTGAAATAAACTAAAACTATCCCAAAATGGTACCATTGGTTTTGAACTATGGCCATTTCCATTGGAACTTTCACGTTCACATGTTGGGGGTCCTTGTTTAGTGGGGAACCAAACAAAGACGACCACGTAAGACTTCCGTCACAGTGCTCATAGCGCCTCCCATCCGTGGCATCCGGCTACCCTCAGATTCTACCTCCGCGACAGCAAGCAATGCAATTCCGAGCGCTTGCCCCTTGGTCGATAGCACCTGCAACAAAAGCATCCCAAGGACACAAGTCAGCCTGTCTAGTCGAAACCATCCCAACTCAGTGAGTGTCTTGCAACTGTTCAATTCTGATTCCACATCTACAAGGGTACTGTGTCTATTGTTCCATGGCCACAGGCAGCAACCGGCCGCAAGCTTGATCTTCACAAAGACTCCAACATCACAAGATCTTTATACATATTAGATATATATATATATATATACAGTACACAGGAAATCAGTGCATGCTCAATTTCCTTTAGCCAAATGGTCGACCCTGTTTATAGAGGCTGTGATACATCCTTTGCTTGCTTGATTGCCTTTAGCGCGAGTACAGGCCAACATAGGACTAGCTCAATCTATTGCTTCGGTTCAATTCATCACTCGAGGCGCAACGTGCAGCTGTGCCTGTTTTCAGTAAGACATCCTCAAAGTTACCTAGGCTAAATGGTGATGAATGGTGACATCCTAAAAATGGTGACATCCAAAAAAGGGAAACATCCCCAGGAGGTATTTCTTCGTTCACTTGGGATGGGCCTTGAGACATGGCCATCTTAAATCGACCCCAACTTGTGTTTTTTTTTCTCCGGTTTCCCCTTGGCCCGCGGACGGTAGCCTCCTACCGACCTGAACCCAAAGATCGACAAGGGCGCAGCCTCATAGGCGGAACCCGTCGTTTCACTTCATGAAATGTCCATGCTGTACCGACCCTCATGAATTGCCAGTCCAGTGTTCCACTCTTTGAGCACGTTCCGGCGTCTGTGGGATGTCTTTCTTGGATCCAGGTTCAACGTGAATGACAAGTTGACTTCACCATACACTGCGCACATTCTTCCGCCGGTCAGATCACATCCCTATCAACCAGGGGCGTTTTGATTCGGCTCGCCGAATCTGGGAATCCGCCGCTCTAGTACTTACACATGGTTCTCACATCATAGAGCGGCATCACCTCCCGGTCGTCCGGCTCACAGGTCCGGACGAGATCCAAGACCTGGCCTTAGGAGGAAACATTTGTTGACGTAGTGCCCCCACCCATAATGGGACTCGGTCCCCAGCTCCAATTTTGCCTTCCCCACCAAGAAGCAAAAGAAGGCCACCCCACCAATGGACTTGATGTTTCGGGGGGAGGGGATTTGATTCATTTTTATGGGAAGCCAATTTGTTAGGGGGTGGGGATTTGGTTCATTTACATGGGACGCCTCCCCGGAAAACGAGTGCAGGAAACCTCCACTGCCGGGTGGCTGAAGTTGTGCAGCAGTTCCTCCGGTCCGTCCAGCACCACCTGGGAGGCGCTCGCGACAGGCGCTCGAGCCGTTTACTTGGCGTGGGGCCATTTGGGTATGGGTCAAAATATAACCACCAGGAGACCAGGACCGCAGGAATTTTAGTCTTTGGTTCCATTTACCAGGATTCCATGTTGGGTACGCATTTTGACCCACAGCCATTTATGTGCGGCTGTCTATAGACAGCCTTGTATCCCGCAAAGGACACCAGAGAAATTTGGGACGACCCCATCGCTTCCCGCATGTTTTTGTTGCTGTTCGTTTGCGTTGCGTTTTCAGGGCATCGCTCTTACATATTCCATGCTCTCCAAGTCATGGCACCCGAACCTACCAAGCACACCCGCTATCACCCGCTTGAACCTCCGCGAGGCAGCACAAGCAATGTTCACTCTGTGTTTGTTAATACAAGCTTGGTTGACTTTAAAGGGCAGCAACATTTTAAGTTTAAGCAGCTAGGTGGTTGGATTTCCACCATTAAACCATAAGCAAAAATGTCAAGGGCATCGCTGGGACGTCCCGATCGCTTCCCGTAGCTTTCTAATCACTTTCGGGGTTTTCCGATGTCCGAATGCATAGATAACGCCGAGTTTTGGCAAGGCACAATTTGGAGTGGTAAAATCCTAAGGCTTGTCCTGGTGTCATGTGGTCTGTTGAGTCATTTGAACCTGAGCAAAGGGGCGCCATAGGGTCTCTTGGTAACCACCAACCACCACTACAGGAAGAAACAAAAACAGCTCAACTCCTAATCCGCCTTGACTTTCAGAAACCTGAACAACTTGAGAAAACTAAGCACTAGCAAATTCACACAATCCAGACCCAAATGGGAGCATGTTGGTCTCTCGAAGTGTCTTGCATGTGGGAGCAACATAAATAAGAATAAAAATAAAAGCGAGAACCCCCCCTGCCCCGCTGGACATGACAGAAACGGCAAAAAGTCACACAATGGATCCCCATCTCTCTCGAAACAGATTGTGCATGAACGCGCCCTTCTTAGAGCAAGCGGCTTTGCCCAGCTTCTTGATGTACACGAGCTCCGCTTGCCGTGTCGCCCCGCACCGATGCCCGAGAGCTGCCCTCCTGTCGCCTATGCGGTGCATGGGGTTGCTCTTCCAAATGGCCTGCTCCTGAGCAATGGGGTGGCCCAAGCTGACTCTGCAAATGAGCACGAGCGAGAAAGCGCACAAGCGCGCATGGCCCTTATACTTGCTGTGGCGGCTGCTGTTGCGGTTGATGCTTCTTGTGCTGCTACTCTTGCAATAGCTTGTTGCGTTTGTTGCTCTTGATTCTCTTGGTGTTGCCTTTTGTTGTTGTTTTCCTCGTTGTTGTTGCTGCTGCTACTGTGGTTGTGGTTGTGGTGGTGGTCGTTGTCGTCCAAGTCGTTGGTGTGTTTTCCCCCCTTTTTTTCTGGTAGCTGTTTGTGATCGATTTCGCGATTCTTGTTGGTGGCGGAGGCCTGCAGAATGGGCACAAAATCGCTCAAAATCCAAACAACAAATCGAAGCGGGGGGATTTTGACATGCCGAACTCGCCGAAGTCCCATCCCTGAGGGGTCCCTATGCTCCTTGTTCACGCAGCTCCAATAACCCGAAAACTTCTTGATGACCTCCTCATTGGTGCCATCGTGCATCGCCTCCAGCTCGCCTTCCAAATGTTTCTCCCACTCTTCCTGCTCCAATTCGCGCCCCAAGACACCCTCAACAAGCTGTTCTTCTGTAGAATTTCAAACCATCATTACCCAACCCTTTGAAAGTTTCGGCCAGCTATTCTATCAGGGCCAAAGCCTACGCCTTGTCGAGTGTCCGGAACCCACCCAGCTGTTTGTCAAACAAATCACTCAAAGGCCAATTGCAAATTTGGGTGAATTCAATCCACTTGCAATATGTTGCGAGCACAGGGCATATTTTGCCTTATTGGTTTCTTCGGCGTCAGCAAAGTTCGGGCGAACTCTGACCCTACGAGCGCCATATCCTCATTTGGAGAAGGTGCACCATGTGGACACATTGCTCCGGAACATTTATTGGGAACCCCTTTCACGCGGGGCAACAGGATCGCATTCGTTTTGAAGACTCCTTCAAATGGTATGCTTTGTTTAAGTTTGATCCTTTGACGAGTTGTTCCTGTAGAAGGAAGCCGATTGATTACACCATCGCGGACTTTAGGCTGGCGAGGTATTTGTCAAAGCTGACCTTTTTAGAACAGCCTGCTTGAACACCTTACTTACTTCCTGAGTCACCCTGAGTCTGAGTGGATAACGCAAAAGGGTCTAATATGGTCTTTGCCAAAAGCATAAAGTCCAGGAACTCAGGAAGTAAGCTCATGGTGTGACAGCTCTTGTGGTAGTCTTCAAGCTGCACTGGATAAACGAGAACACAATTGCCGTTTCTTGATATCTGGGAGCCCTCTGGCCGCGCTGGATGCTTTATGTTCAATCAGTGTACTGTAGGGCATGCAGTTGGTCGAGAATATTCGGGGCACTCATCAGGCTCATGCAAAGCTTTTAAGCAAACATTGAAGAAACACACGTACTGACA